AGGGTCATGAGGAATTTGAAGTTTCTGCAGTTCTTGACTCTCGTTTCCTTAGGGGCCGACTTCAGTACCTAGTGCATTGGAAGGGCTATGGGCCTGAGGAGCATAGTTGGATTTCCGCTGACGCGGTTCACGCTCCTCGTCTTGTGCGCTCTTTCCATTCTCGTTTTCCTGCCAGGCCTGGCCCTCCCCGCCCGGAGGGCGTGTCCTCGGGGGGGGTAATGTAGCGGTACTTACCCTTTCCAGGGGCCGGCCGGGGTCCTCTGTTCGAGCCGCGCGCGGTCCTGCTGCTGCATGAGCCGCGCGCGGCTCAGCCGACCGCTGTGACTGGAAAGCGGTCACGTGTTCCACCTAACTCTAAGAGCGCGCCGCGGGTATCGGGCGCGCTCTTAAAGGGACAGTGGGTGCCTAAATTGGAAAAGGCATCCCATTGGTCCCTGTCATGCCACACTCCCCATACACTTACCTTTTGGGGGCGTGGATGTGACAGGGACCAATCAAATTAGATGTTTAGGTATTTATACTCACCTTCTTCCCTTTGTTCCTTGCCCTATCGTGGTTTCTGTATCAGTTCCCTTTAGCGCTTGTTGTGTTCAGTTGTGTTTCTCCGTATTGACCTTGGCTTTGTTTCTGACTACGTTTTCTCTTTATCCTTATCTGTTCTGGTTGTCGGCTTGTTGTTTACTGTGTACCAGACCCCGGCTTGTCCTAGTTTACGCTGTCTCTCTGTGCCCTTGATTTCGGATTGTTCCTGACTCTGTCTCCTCTCATATACGTCGAGTCCGGCCATTCTAAGGTCCGGTAGACGTATCTCTCCTCTGTGTTGTCTTTTGTTTAGCTGAATCCTGCGTGTTGGGGTATATTCTCGTTACAACAGAAAGTCCAGAGAAAATAAACATATAGAAAGCGATGAAGAAAAAGTATTAAAAAAAAAAGATCAAACCATAAAAAGATAGTGAAGAAGAAAAAAAGAGATAGAAAGAAGGAAGAAAGTAGAAGAAATAAAAAAGGGAAAGAAAACTACCGTGACAACTAAAGAAGTGGAGCAATAACACTATGTATCAAAATAGTGAAACCGTGAAACAGGGTAAAAAGAGAGAAAATGAAACATATAGAATAACGAAGAAAATAAGGACCATCGGTAAATACATATATTAGAATAACCACAAGCGTTGTGTATACATATACATTGTACTATCAATATACAGTATGCATAATAAGTACACCATGGAACTGCTAATAAAAGCAGAAAATCCCTTATGCAGAAAAATGACAAGATTAAATAATTAGACCTTTGAAAATGAGAACGAGAAGATAGTAGGAAGCAGGACCAAAGATTACACAGATAAGCAGAAAATCAAATTAGCGTGTATCTAGAAATGGATGGAAAGACAAATATTCATTCAGGCCCTTGGGATATAAAGTGTCCAATGCTTTAATCCAGTGTCCAGTGCTTTTATTAGCAGTTCCATGGTGTACTTATTATGCATACTGTATATTGATAGTACAATGTATATGTATACACAACGCTTGTGGTTATTCTAATATATGTATTTACCGATGGTCCTTATTTTCTTCGTTATTCTATATGTTTCATTTTCTCTCTTTTTACCCTGTTTCACGGTTTCACTATTTTGATACATAGTGTTATTGCTCCACTTCTTTAGTTGTCACGGTAGTTTTCTTTCCCTTTTTTATTTCTTCTACTTTCTTCCTTCTTTCTATCTCTTTTTTTCTTCTTCACTATCTTTTTATGGTTTGATCTTTTTTATTTAATACTTTTTCTTCATCGCTTTCTATATGTTTATTTTCTCTGGACTTTCTGTTCATACTTAATATATGCCCGTTTTAAGATATACTATGGCCATCATTCTCTCTCTCTTACTTGTATAGATCTTTCCTATCTGGTTTATTTTACTGTTTCACACTATACACGATCACTTACTAGTTTCTATGGAAACCGGACGCCTTTTCACCACCTCTTCCTGGTCGCATTTGGTTGACGTCATCACTCCGTTACGGAACTCACACGCTACTTTTCATCTATTCACAGCATGTACACATGGTTCCATAGCTGCACACCTATCTCAGGGTAAGTGATTACCCCCTAATTATTTACTGCTATAAATGTTATCACTTCACTGTGTTATGCATCTTGATAAAGACCTGCGGGTCGAAACGTCGATTTTTTCTGTACACCGATAAAAAAATTTTTTCAACAAGTCCTTTGGAGTGCTCTCTTTGCTACTATTTCTCTATCTATTTACGCTTTGCAGCACCGAGGCTTTTTTTGGGATCATCATTTTTTAAAGGTAGAGTGCCGGATTTTGTACATATTTATATATATATATATATATATATATATATATATATATATATAGTGGACTCTACAAACGCAGATGGACTCTGTCGGCTGTCGGAATGCTATCATGGGCCTGCTCTGTCTGTGCCCCATTGATTGGCCTGCTATGTCTGTGCCTATTTGAATGGCCCACTATGTCTGTGCCTATTTGATTGGCCAACTATTCTGTGCCCATTCGTTTGGTATGCTGGGCCTGTGCCCTTCTGACGGGCCTGCTCTATCGGTGCCGAACCCCCTTTTGGCCGTAGGCCTGGGGGAATATCACTGAGGAAAACCCAGTACCCACTAGTGACATGGAGATAGGCAGGTGTCCAGGCAAGCACCGTTGCAATACTATCCAAGAGGACGCCAGTATACGGCCACCTGAGTATGGTGGGAAGGGTGAAGACCCCAAACCTCATGCCTGAAGGGCAAGGTTTCTTATGAAGACCCCGGGCACGCATCCACGGTTTACACCAGCCCGGCAACGGCACATCTCCAAGGAGAACTTTGCACAGGCAGGGACTGGTACTCAGACGCCTACAGGGGGACACGGTGTTTCCTTGTCTTTAACAACTAACCCTCTAACTGCCTCCCGGTATCCATCTAGATATCGGTAGTTATTCCTGCGTAAGGTTAGCTCCTGGCCCTGTTCAGTGGGGCTTACTTGACTTGCCTTCCGGCCTGCTATTTGCCTTCTATCCGAGTTAGAATTTACGTATTTACCCTTATCTACATTTATTATTGTTTTTGTTTTCGTGCCTTCCTTTTTCTATCGCTCGGGTCGTCGAGAGGCCTGACTTGACCTCCTCCGACCTCCCGGGCGCTCGTAGATTGCAGAGAACGTCTCCAGCTTTCCTCAGGCTACCGACGGTCATCCTGGACCCCGGCGCGCGCACGGAATCCGGGCGGTCAGTTGGTAGTTTCCGAAGGTTCCATTTTCGCACCATCCCTTTCTGTTATTTAGAATGGACATGGCCCGAGGTTGTATACTATCACATCTGCCATCGGTCTGGTTTACTACCAGTTGATTCCTTTTCAAGTGAACGATTCAGAGAGAGGTCTCGTGGTCGGGGAGAGACCCACCTAAGGACCTCAGTCTTATGCTGATATTAGTAATTGGTGTACCCCTGCAGTTGGTCACCCTGAGTCTCTAAGGGACTCTAGTTTGGATCACAAGAGGGTGCGGCCCTCCATCACCTCGATCCGAGAATGATATTTTATTTTCAGGAACAGAGAGCGAACCCCTCTCATATACAGAACCGGACACTGATTTGTTATTAGAGGGCGCGGCCCTCCCTCAACCTCAGCCCGATACTGAGCTGGATACAGAGGACATGTTTGGAGTGACACATTTTCATAGAGAGAACCGGTCACGGATGTAGACTCTACTGTTTGGTTATTAACGGGTGCGGCCCGCTCAGGATATCAGCAGGACACTGACACGGAATTTGGTCACATTATTAGAGAGCTCGGTTCTCTCATACACTCAACGCTCTATGGTGCCGTCCATTTGTTCATCACACAGGCTTGTACCTGTACAAGATCTTGATGACTGCATAGAGGGGCGTCCCTCCTGCATTCAATTAGATCTAAGGACCGTGCTACTGATTTCGTTACAGAGGGCTGCCTGATCATGCAGGATATACGTATTTAGACTGGATCCCTCTATTTTATCTCCTGTAATGGATCTACTGGATCCGGACCACTGTACCACACGCGAGAAATACTCACAGAGGTATAACGGGGGGAGACTCCCATTTATTTACTCACACTCCTGGAGACGGTATGGCTAACGGATGAGACACAGGTATTACAAGAGTGCAGGATTTGGTATATTCTGCGCTATATAAAACAGAGAATTGCATTCTATTTTGGATATTCGGATCATTGCGAACAAACTGCGCAGACAGTTTTTCCCATATCAAGATGACATGAGATATGGAGACCTTCATGGAGCAAACAGGCACTGCCATGCTCGGGTAACAAGACTAGGGAAGGCCTACTACCCGGTCTGAAAGTACACGATACGCATGGATCGCATGGTAAGACCGGAAACCCCGGTTGACTTGTGTTCACTGGTCATTACAATCTTGGGATAAGATGGCAGAACTGCCCCTACTCCTCTGAGCACATACCTGGAGAACATAGTTCGGAGATGGAGGGCCCTCCGTCTATACTCTATATATCCCTCATGGGAGCCGTTTTGGTTTGGGTTCGCGCTAACCCACCTTTTCAACTACCATCAAGGAGACCTACGAGACTCTATGGAGGAATCTGGTGTGCCCCGACTCCTACACAGACGTCAAAGTCGGGTCACAACCTACCACTGGAGTACGGCTCAGGATGTGTAGCAGACTCAGATAGGGCTGCCGACATTCTCAAACGGGACAACACATGTGTCGGACGGCTGAAGCTAGACCCTTCTTTTTTCGCTATATCTGCTCTCTGGGGTCACCTGTCATGAGCGAAGGGACTTTTCGCCTTGCCTGCGTATTGGAGAACGCTATTCGCAGGACTCCAAGCTAAGAAGGGAGGTATCCCTCTATAGGGAGACTTTGACTTCAATTATCAAAATCACATTCCTGGGTCCCTTGACCTAGGGCCTACTCTGGGAGATACGTGCCCGGACAGTCAGGGATACAGGGACCTAAGGGTCTCACTATATTATACCCTATCTTGTAGGTGGCATGTATACCAGGAACCCCTACCGAATTTTGACAGGTCGGGCATGGAACAGAATCGTACGACAGGTAGTCGGACTATTTCACTCTCTCACTACAGCACGTGAGGACTCTTCGTTGTTATACAGGTCCCAATCGCCATTGGATCCGTACATCTTATCACTCTTAGACGTTGACATCTGGAGGGAAATCTCAACTCCGGTTTACGTCTCCCATCCCTTTGAATATTTCCGGGACCCACTATTTCCAGAATAGTCGACCACCGTTCCACTATATAAGTTCAGTTTGGGACCCTGATTGGATGTCCTTTTTGGAGTCCTTTCTCTACCGCAGCCATGGATTACACAGTACAGTTGGAATATTGGAATCACTTGGGATAAAGCTAGTTTGCCACACTCTTGCCTGCATAATAAATGTATTCTCGGATGAGACATCTCACCGGGTAGGCCATCAGGGAACGAAAGATTCTTCTCGGTTCTATTACGGAATTGGTGGTGGACTTAGGCGCATTCCTTGAGATTGAAGATCTGCCTGCAAGACCACATCGCCGGGTGACCTGGGCACGATCGGTGGAGCAACCTTACACATCAAGAGTTGAGACATGGTGACAGTGTCTTATCGCGGCCCTAAGTCCGCAAATGACCTTCGACATTTTATAACTACAGGGAAATGGCTAATAGGTCAGCTTGGCAGCTCATGGACTGGCTGCTTTTTTTTTTTTTTTCGTATTTGGGATGCTTCGTCAACTGGCATCTTCATCAATCGGTCTATTGTCATTTATCGCAGTTGGAAAGTCCATTTAGGATTGCTCGGATAGCTCCCGGAATAGGTACCAGCGAAACAAACAGCGTTGGATTTGTTGACTGAGCGTTAAAACAGCAAATACGAAGCCTCCTTTCATATTATAAAATTGTAGATTATGCTAGCTTTAGTGTACCTATAATCTTAATTTTATTAATGACAGGAGGCGAGTATTTCCCACCCGTTCTTATCCCTCCCTTGTTTAATTTTAATAGTTTAGAATAATCAGGTACGTATGCAACTCTGCTTGTTGTCTCTGCTACCTGTCGCCTGTTCTTATGTCTGTTTTTTTCATAAGTAGGGTTGAGATATATACATATTAAGGTACTTTTGGTTGCTACATTGGGTACCTACATGTTTATTCAGAGTACATTTCATTGGATAATCAACCTGTTCAATTCTGTTTTTCTCTCGTTTCAGTTTACAGTCCATCAACGCTATCTGGTTTGGCAGTTCTTCTTGGATGGTGGACATCGTTGTATTCATCGTATCTAGGACTTTGTTTCTTCCCCATTATGTTTTCTGCCTTTTATTCTGTTTTTGTCGCAGCTTGAAAGAGGAAATGATGCATGGGGAGGGGAGTTTTATAGTACCTAACTTTTTTCTGATTGGTTGTTTTTCTGTGCTGCTGTGGAGTTCTAGTAAAGAGAGACTTAAGCAAATACTCGCCTCCTGTCATTAATAAAATTAAGATTATAGGTACACTAAAACTAAGATAATCTATAATTTGCTGAATTATTTAAAAAAATTATAATCAATAAAGGTGATTCTGAAAAGTATTGAAATTGTGCAACTCTAAATACTTTAATATCATTAAAGGCTCAGTGGTGCCCATTAACATCCTAAAAAATATCAAATATGAGATTGTCATTTATACCAAAATTATCCACTTCTAAAACTTTTAATGAGAATGGTTTTTAGGTTGAAATTTGCTCTTTTCTGGTTGACTGGTTAATTTTGATTAAATAGATTTATGAAAGCAATTCACTTAGAGTGATATCTTAATTATTGCTACAGTTATTATTGTGCTACTATGTATCATTAGTAAATTTGTCAAATATATTTCATACTTTCTGTTAAATTCACACATAAAAGGTTGAAATATGCAGCAAACAAAACAATATATCCCTGTTTCATTAACCATACTCTATCCCTGTACAATATTACAACACACTGTGTAAATTAAGTCACCGTTCAATTTAACTCGTACAGAAAAATTGGCAAAATATAGTATAGAGTATATGAGGCAAATCCCATTATTTGCATGTACATAATATTTAAACAAAGCTTGCAAGTTTCATTTAATCAATATAGTTTAACTCCTTTTAAATAGGACATCTAGCCTGGAGAGATCACTTTAAGGAGATAATTGGAGTTTCCTGCTCATGTTTCAATATAGCCATTGTTCTCTCACTAGCGCACGTGGGAATATTTTCTGCAGCGAGCGGGGATAAAGTTTACTTAAAAAGGAATTGTCAATAGTTTCTAAAATGGACAATAAAATAACACAGCCCTCCTCTAGGTTCTCCTGAGTATACTTTATTTGTCCTTGGAAAAATCATATCCGTTGTACCTTTCAAAATGATTTATTACGTGTTATTGTTACAGTGTTCAATATTGTTCAATACCCGACTATTGTAGTGATTACCTCTCTCCAGTCTGGTTTAGCTCTATCATGTGCTTTTATTTATCTCCTGAGGCAAAAACATTTTAATTGGTTTAAAAAAGTCTGAACTCTCTTTCATCAATGACAGATTACATCAAAGTGAACTAATCCAGTATAGTGGAGCATTGTGTGCCCTCAATAGTTGAGTAAATGCACACATACTTTCTCTCTTATTTCTTATATGAGATAGATAGATAGACAGACAGACAGATAGATAGATAGATAGATTGATAGATAGATAACAAATAGATAATAGATAGATGGATGGATGGATATATAGATAGATAGATAGATAGAATGATAGATAGAAATAGACAGATAGAGATAGATAGATAGATAGATAGAAATAGACAGATAGATGATAGATAGATAGATAATAGATAGATAGATGGACGGACTATAATCTTAACTATCTTTCCCAGAATGCTGATTCGATCTTTTGGCATCACTATGTTGACGACAGTGCAGTTACACTGATTCAGACCGTGTATTTGGTCATTTGTCCCAGAAATAGGCAATTATTTTGCAGGATATCGTTATTTTAAAACTGACAGATAAGGTATTGATTGCTTCACTAAAATACTGCAGTTATTGCATTGCATTGTTGGATGGGAATATTTAATATGACCTTTAATCACATTCAATATCTCATTAGTAAATGATGTTGCATTGAAGGAATATACCGCTTTAAGAGACAACAACGCTGAAAAAAAAGTTGTTTCACATTTTAAAGAGCTAAATTTATTGCTTGAGTAATTTCCATTTTAAGGAAGATAGAATACAGCAATGATGTAATTGTATCTGTGCATCACATGTCCATGATAAAGGTACTAATTATATTCTGATTGGCTCAAAACAACATGATATTAGGCAGTGCACAACTGTGCAAAAACAGAGAATATGAAAACTCTGAGAACGGACAGAAACTTCAATAATCTCAATAGTTTGCCCTTCTGTTAATCTCCGCTTAGGTCTTGAAATAGAGTTTGTTCCATAGAATGTGACGGCCCATCTAGTCTGTCCAATTTTTTTTTTTAAATACTTTCATAAGTCCCTGGCCTTATCTTATAGTTACGATAGCCTTATGCCTATCCCACGCATGCTTAAACTTCTTTACTGTGTTAACCTCTACCACTTCAGCTGGAAGGCTATTTCATGCATCCACTACCCTCTCAGTAAAGTAATACTTCCGGATATTAGTTTTAAACCTTTGCTCCTCAAATTTAAGACTATGTCCTCTTGTTGTGGTAGTTTTTCTTCTTTTAAATATAGTCTCCTCCTTTACTGTGTTGACTCCCTTTATGTATTTAAATGTTTTTATCATATCCTGCCTGTCTCGTCTTTCCTCCAAGCTATACATGTTAAGTTCCTTTAACCTTTACCTCTCGTAAGTTTTATCCTGCAATCCATGAACCAGTTTAGTAGCCCTTCTCTGAACTCTCTCTACAGTATCAATATCCTTCTGGAGATACGGTCTCCAGTACTGTGTACAATACTGCAAGTGAGGTCTCACCAGGGTTCTGTACAATGGCATGAGCACTTCCCTCTTTCTACTGCTAATACCTCTCCCTATACAACCTAGAATTCTGCTAGCATTTCCTGTTGTTCTTTTATATTGACTGCCTACCTTTAAGTCATCAGAAATAATCACCCCTAAATCCCTTTCCTCAGATGTTAAGGCTAGGACTCTTTTACATATTCTGTACTCTGCCCTTGGGTTTTTACATCCAAGATGCATTATCTTGTGCTTATCCACATTAAATGTCAGTTGCCACAACTCTGACCATTTTTCTAGTTTAACTAAATCATTTGCCATTTGGCTTACCTCTCCTGGAACATCAGCCCTGTTACATATCTTAGTATCATCAGCAAAAAGACATACCTTACCATCAAGACCTTCTGGAATATCACTAATAAAAACATTAAAGAGAATGGGTCAAAGTACAGATCCCCGAGGTACCCCACTGGTGACAAGCCCATGCTTCGAATATAATCCATTGACTACAACCCTCTGTTGCCTGTCACTCAGCCACTGCCTTACCCATTCAACAAAATTGGAATCCAAACTTAATTACTGAAATCTAGGTAAGCAAAGTCTACTGCACCACCCTGATCTAATTTTTTAGTTACCCAATCAAAAAAAGCAATAAGATTAGTTTGGCATGATCTCCCTGAAGTAAACCCATGTTGTCTCTGATCTTGAAATCCATGTATTTTTAGATGTTCAACAATCTTATCCATTAACATATTTTCCATTACTTTCCCCACTACTGAAGTAAGGCTTACTGGCCTATAGTTGCCCGACTCCTCCCTACTACCTTTCTTGTGAATGGGAACAACATTCGCTAACTTCCAATCGTCTGGGACTACTCCTGTTAAAAATGTTTGGTTAAATAAATCTGTTAATGGTTTTGCTAGTACACCACTAAGCTCTTTTAATAACTTTGGGTGTATTCCATCAGGTCCCATTGACTTATTTGTCTTTACTTTTGACAGTTGAAATAGAACCTCTTCCTCTGTAAACTCACATATAACAAATGACTCATTTTTCCTTTTTCTAACTGAGGCCCCTTTCCTTCATTTTCATCTGTAAATACTGAACAAAAATATTCATTGAGGCAGTCAGCTAGACCTTTATCCTCTTCTACATACCTTCCTTCTTTTGTTTTTAATCTAACTAATCTTTGTTTTACTTTCCTTTTCTCATTTATGTATCTAAAAATGTTTTGT